ATAAAATGAAACTTATAGTAATAGTACCATGTTATTATTAGTTTATTTTATTTCAATGTTTTTTCCATGGATAACTTGACAAAATAAACTTTTGTAGTTATTTTTGTGCATTTTTCTACTTAAAATTTTTCAATAAAATTTAGTACCTATAGGGTAGATTTAAGTGCCATGCTTAGATTTTGTTTAAAAAATTCGCTAAAATGAATTCTTAAAAATTTACTCTTAAAATCTGACATAGTGGGCCTTGAATTTTATAAAAATATGGCGTTTTTTGCTTCAAAAACACTGTTTATCAATATCTATACTTTAAAACAAATCCAGTTAAAATCGCACAATAAATAAAGATTTTACAGGGGTGAGTCGCAAACAAATTGGTACACTGTATATTACGAAAATTTTAAAAATCATCAAATTTAATTAATTTTGGAACTGTTCTTGTAAAGTATTTAATTAAAACAATGCCTATGTAAGCTATATAATTATACAAACTTGTTTTCCATAGATAAAATAATAATTAATTACGGTTAAAAATCTTGATCTTGATATTTACAAAGTATCAAATCATCATTACGAGAAAGTCCAAATTATGCAAATAAAAATTAATCTGTAACCTGTAATTTGTTTAATAATAAGAAATCTTACAATTTTCTTGAAAGTGAAAACAGCTGTAAGATACGTTTAATACAATAGCAAACCTGATTTATGATCTGTTTATATCTGCAAGAAATGAAAAGAAACATAAAATATAAACTAAACTTTTGTACTTGCTGACCAGTGGTATTTTTTAAAAATTTATGAAGGAACGGAAAAACTAAATTAAATCAGCGGACATTCATAAAATTAAAACTAATTTCACCTGTCTTGGCATAGAAATTGTGCATTCTAAAGTAAGCCTACTGCAAAAAGAAATAAATGTTATGAATCACGTTTTCTGCTAATTAACATCCAATATATTTGACCGATAAAATTTTAATATAACGTGAAAATTGATTGGCTGTACAAATTACCTCATTACAAGTCTTACTTGGCACGCGAGATATACAGGGTGTTAAGTTTTTTAACAGAAGAAACTAAAACAAAGACAGAAAATCCAAGAATGATTTTTGACCGTATTATCAAAATGCTTTGTTCGGTTTAGTATTCAAACACCCTGTATAACATTTAGTAGTACTAAAAAAGGCACACATTCTGTTGTTTTACTTTTAATAATAGATTGTTAACAATAGGACCCTGAAGCTTGATTTTCTCAAGAACGTTTTTTAACTGTAGCTTTAGTTGTAAAGAACGAAATATTGGTTGTATTACAATGGCTGGGCATTACCGTTAACGTTATTAAAACAATACCTGAATGAATATGTATCAAGGCAGCTATGAACCGCCTGCAGCGTTTGCTTCAGTAAATTCCACGAGGTAACGAATAAGAAAAATCTCAAGATAATCAAAATATACAGTGTAGATAAGAGTATCTCAAAAAACCGACTATTTTTTTTTTCAAAGAAAAATCGTCAGAGTATCTCTAGAAAACGACCCTAAGAAAATATGAGCTATTAATATTAATATTTAGAGGTGGCGTTTTGTAACTTTCTATTTCCCATTTAAATAAAAGATACAGCGATTCAAAGTCGTCAAAAATGACCACTTTTCAGCAAAATAATCAAAAAGGGGCCATTTTTACTGACATTGAAACGCTGTATCTTCGTTACCGTTCGTTTAATTTGTACAAAATTTTCAGGATATACTAACAAAAATACGGTCTTTAACAGCATTTTTTTTATTTACTTAAAAAAATTACCCTAAAAGTTATTTTTCGAACGTTTTTTCTTTATTAAATAAAAGGGCTTTAAACATATTTTTTTGAAAAACCCTCGAACACGTAAACTGAAGTATTTTTATCCAAAATTTCATAAAGAATAATAAAGGCGTTTTATAGTGGTTCCAAAAATTATGGCCAACACTGTATATTTGGAATGCAGATACAAAATTTTTAATAATTTGACAAATGATAATTTTTATTGAATTTTAGCGAAAAATATTTACTTCCTAAAAGTAAGTAAGAAGTTTATTATAAATTTATTTATATTATGTATTAATAATATATTAACTGTTTATATAGTCATATATAGTATACATTTATTCTCAAGTTAATAATTTTGGGTAGTTTGTTATCACGTTACAAAATTCCAAAGTTTGAAAAAAAATCCCATGTTCTTTAAATGGGAAAATAGAAAATTACAAAACGCCACCTCTAAATATTAATATTATTTTCACAGGGTGGTTTTCTATAGATTATTCACACTCTAGTGTACTTATGAAGCAAAAAACGCCATATTTTTACAAATTTTTAAGAATTCAAGGCGATTTAAAAAAAACTATGCACGGCACTATATTCACCACCCCTTAAAATGGCCCTATACTAAATTTTAATAATTTTTTTTAAGTAGGAACGATTTTGTAGCCAAATTAAAAATAAACAATTATAATAATAATTTTTGGAATTCTTTATTTTTTCTTTCATTTTTTGCAAACAAATTTGTTTCAAGTTTCTATTGCGTTTTTTATTTATTAATGTTAATTTTATTTCAATGTTTTTTTATGGATAACTTGACAGAATAAATAGTAATTATTGCGCATTTTGAATTTAGCTACAAAATCTTCTTACTTAAATTTTTTTATTAAAATTTAGTATAGGGTCGTAACAATTTAAAAACTGACATGGTAGACCTTGTATTTTGTAAAAAAAATTGTGTTTTTGCTCCAAAAATACAGTTTATCAAGATCTACACTTTAAAACAAATCCTGTTAAAATCGCACAATAAATAAAGATTTTACAGGGGTGAGTAGCAAACAAATGGGTCACACTGTATATTGTATCTAAAAAAATTGAAATTTAAATGGTATACTTGATCAAACTAATTTTAAAGATAAATTCTTTAAAATTAAACGCTCATTTGACTGGTTTTGGGCCATCTTGATTACTCTAAAAAAAACACAAAATATTGTGCAGTTATATCCACGTGGAATGAATGGGTATTTGCTTGCGGAAAGCGTTCAGATACCGGTTGTTGGTGGGCATGAATCATACGGTAAGTTGTCAAAAATGGTAATCACGTTAGATACAATGTCACTGATTCGGTTAGTCACTTTTGTAAATGTTGAGTTTAAGTTTTTAATATGTAAACAAGCACTTTAAGAATATGATTAATTTATAAGATTATAACAAAATATACCTAATAAATAAAGGTTCATAAAATAAAATATTATTTACGACCTTTAAACCGGTAAAATTGTTGTAATAGCACTTAAAAAATCCCGAATTGATTCTATAGAAATTAAATACTGTAAATCATTATATTATACAGATGGTACTTTATATAGTGGCTACTAGTTAGCGCATACAGGTAGTACGAAAATATTTTAAAATTTTCGAATAATTTTTTAAGGGCGTTAATAAGATGTGCACAAACTTTAAATCATTTGCTTTCTTAAAATGAAATAGTCAAAATTCTACTATTTGAATTAGTACTAGTATTTTTTACTAATAAAATAGTCGTTTTCACTTTTAAATAGTTATTTTTTACTACGTACACAGAGAAAAGTAATCTCTTGATTTAAGAAAATGCATTTATTTGAAACAGTTTTTCTTGTATGAAGTAAAATTGTCTTATTCGTAGTAACTTCTTGTTTACAATAAGAAAATACTATTATTTAGTTGTAAATCATGAGTTTCTTGAAAACAACTTATTGTTGTGATTAATTGTAAAGAAATATTTATTTAGAGCAATTAATTAAATTGTTTGGATATAGGTTGTAGGGATTTAGTTTTATCAAATGTTAATACAAGCATATAATATCTTATTTTAACAAAATAATAGAATTGATACAAGTAAATGTTTTGTTTCTTTAAGTAAGATAAAAAGTCAACTAAATATTTACTTGTATTAAACAAACCATCAGTTTAAAAAGTCAAATAAACCCAAGTTTTCCACTAAATAAATATCTTCTTGTATCATATCGAAATAAATAATTTATTTGAGTCAAGACAGATATAGTAAAATCAAGAGATTACTTTTCTCTGTGTAAATAGTTAGTTTGATTATTTGAATTAAATGCATTAAATGGCCCATAAAAACAAACAAAGATGAAAAAAGTTTATCTTAAAACAACAACACAAATAATATATTCAACTTAAAAATATTATGAACAATATTTATTGACAAATAAAATTGATTTTTATAAGAGAGACTGATAACCACATTGGTTATGACAACAGCTTGACAAGTGACAGACCTGAGTTCAATCCCCGGTTGGGTCAAAACATTTTTTAAATTTAAATCTACTAATTTGACTATTTCATTCAGTAGAATTTGACTAATTATTAGTGACTGCTTTTTCGCTATGACAATTAGTCAAATATGACTTATAATTGGTTATTTTTGACTAATTTATTTTAAGAGAGTGTGTAATCCTTTTGTTTGTTTCAACCTTTCTTGTAAAATAATAGTAAATGTGAAAATTATTTTATTATCTCAATACAAAAATACAAAAGTATTAAATTTTGCGTACAGTGCCCATTAAACATTCTCTTCTCTTTTACTGTAAACACTGTTTCAATAAAGGATAACATATTTTCTTAACATAATCATATTTTAAAGTATCAATAATTGTTAAGTTTAATTAACATAATAACGAGCAATGTAATGGGAAAAATTACATCAAAAATGTTTATTGGGATGTTTATTGTCGTAAATATGTCGTTTTGTACAAATATTTAATTTAAATCATTTTTTAGATAATATTAAGTATTTGTCGTAGAAAAAGTATAGTATGCAACTCGTTTATAAACTTTTCTAGGCACTCATTTAATTAAACACTCCTAAATTAAAATTAACTTATAAAAAATAAAAACTGTAATGGGATTTTAATCTTTTATGTACGAGTACTTGTAACAAGGCAAATTGCAGCAAAACCGCAACTATTGTGTGTATAGTGGAATAATTTACATTTATAATATTTTCAATTGGCACTGAACAAAACTCTTCTAGCTGAAGGAAAATTCACATGGGTTTTAATCGATGCAATTACTGTCACCACTGAACAATTCTCACGTCAGAAATTCCTTTACGCGCTCGATAAGTACGACGGGTTCGCGAGAGATGAGGTGCGATCTAGCAGGCCGAGATTAAACCACTGACTGGTCGATTTTGCGATCGAAGCTCGTGCGGCTCTTGGACGCATTCCGCAGGAGCGCCGGGTGTCGCCGGCTCGGTCTTGAACCGTCAGATTCGATGTTTGTCGATTTTTGCCAGGCGGGTGCCGAAAGGTGATGGGTCGTTTTTTAACCAAGTATTAACCAGATTTTATGTTAAGTTTACAGCCAACTGTGATCTGTTAATTAATTCAATAAGTAGTTTGTAATTATAAATAACAAAAATCCTGTCAATAATTCAACCATAATTCTTGTAATTTAAAAAAGGACCTTATTTTTACAAACCTTTTTGCAGAACTGTACTCAGGGGATAATTTTGGGACCTATCCTTTTTTTACTATATGTTAATCAACTAAAAATATCTTTATATAATAAATTCTTCACAATGTATGCCGATGATTTGTCGCTTCTTGTAACCCAAACATCAAGTATACTTCACAAGAAAAGGAGGTAGATAATGTCCTAAAACTAATCGCTTAATTTTTTAGTAAGTATACTTTATTTTTTAACACTGATAAAACTCAATTTGTACAATTTCATGTTTCAAATTTTGTAAACCATTCACTTTTAATGAATCTAACATTAAATCAATACCGGCTGCAAAATTCTTGGGACTTACATTAGATAAAAATCTCACTTTTTCAAGTCACTGAGAACAAATTATAAATAAGCTACTTTCGTTGGTATTTTTGTTTAGTAACCAAAAAGTGGTGCTTAACAGGGACCAATTGATCGGTTTGTACTATGATCATGTTGAATCACGCTTAAGATATTGTGTACTCTCTTAAAATGAAATAGTCAAAATTCTACTATTTGAATTAGTACCAGCATTTTTTACTAATAAAATAGTCGTTTTCACTTTTAAAAAGTTATTTTTTACTACGTAAATAGTAAAAGTTTGACTAATTTAAGATTAGTCACCATCTTTGACTATTTCTAAAAGTTAAAATTAACTAATTTATTTAATCGTTTGAGGCCAACAACAAAGTATTATTTGAATTAAATGCATATAGGCTCCATGGTTAAATGGCCAATAAAAACAAACAAAAATGTAAAAAGTTTAGCTCAAAACAGCACCTAAAATAATATATTCAACTTTAAAATATTATGAAGAATATTTATTGACAAATAAAATTGATTTTTATAAGGGTGACTGATAGCCACATTGGTTATGACAACAGCTTGACAAGCTTGACAAGTGAAAGACCTGAGTTCAATCCCCGGCTGGGTTAAATTTTTTTTAAATTTAAATCTTCTAATTTGACCATTTCATTCCGTAGAATTTGACTAATTATTTCTGACTGCTCTTTCGCTACGGCAATTAGTCAAATACACTGTTCAAAATTTCATGACCATTTTAACACCAAATTAACACCATATTTGGTCTATATCGATACAAACCAAAATGGTGTTAAATAGGGTTCGTTGGTCCGGTGTTAATTTAAATACTAAAATGGTGTAAATTCAAATACTAAAATGGTGTAAATTTAACTTTCACACAGTATTAAAATAAATTTTACCTGGTACCTTTTCAGTGTTCACAGTTTATTGCATGGAAATAGTTTATTGTGGGTATGTTCTGTGTTTGGGTATGCGGCTAAACAAAATTATAAACGAAACTTAAACTTTTAATGTTTTTTTTTACCTAAAATGCTGTTTTTTAACATAAAATGCTTTTTTTTAGTACCTTTTTAGTTACCTATTTTTCAGTTTTTAGTACCTAAATATCCCATCCCTACTTATAATTAGTTATTTTTTACTAATTCATTTTAAGAGAGTATGTTTCTGGGGTAATGCCGCATCGGTCCAGGATGTATTTATATCTCAAAAACGAATAATAAGTTGCATTTTTGGACACTCAAACAGACATCCTTGTAAAAAAGTATGTAGAGAATATAGTCAGTCTCTATGGATTTGAATTATGTATATAGGTTTTTAATAATAAAAACAAATTTTCGAAAAATTGCAATTGTCTCAATTTGAATACCAGAACTAACCTAAACTACCGACTACGACAGGTTCGACTTAATATTAGTGAAAGAACTCCAGATATTATGGGTTCTAGAGTCTTTAACTTGCTACCTCACAGCATTAAAACTATTTCTAAAATAACTTAATACTTGAAATATGAATTAAAATTGCTTTTAACATCTAAATGTTTGTATACAATATCAGAATTTTTTACTTAATGTTTATTTGTAAACTTTTAGTGCTCTTTTTAGACTTTTTAGTTTTTAGTATTTAGGTTTAGATTTTTGACTATTTCAACAAATTTATGTATGATCCATGGAAATAAATATTATTATTATTAAATTACCAAAATGCTTACAAAATTGCATATTACCTTTAACTTTCGGTAAAATATTTTCCTTTGTTAAAATGATTACAAACCCTGCTTTTCTACAAAAAATTATGTTAAAATTTAACAAAATAAAATTCACAAACTCATGTTGAAAATTCTGATTTTTATAACAGTGTACGTAACTGGGCAAAGTTTTTGTGTGGAGACTCCAATAGTAGATGCGACGACGAACTTTTTTTTACAGTTATTTAAATATTTGGTGTTTTGTAATGATTGTTTTAAATTTTGTAACAAAAACCAATGCGAATGTACAGTGACCGGCAAAAGTATGAAACATTTCTGCTAATGTGGAAAGAAGAGTTTTGCAAAAATTTCAAATACGTTTGTACTTTACATTAAATAAATTGTAAACTTATTGCTGTGTTCCAGTTTTATTTCCACATTCTACGAGAATTAAAACTTCAAATCTCTGTGTTTTCGTTAAATGGCCCATATTTAAATACTTCGAAATATTTGGAAAACGCTTAAGAGACAGATACTATTCTGAACGCTCAACTAAAAGTTTTTACATCTAGTAGTGAATATTTGTTTTAAATTATATGCTAACAAAGAAATATAAAAAACTTCCATGTATCGACACTAAGCAAGTCTTGCTATTTGTAGAATAACAAAAAACAATAATAAACTGAAAAAGTTTGACCTTAAAATGACATATTTTAAGAAAGTTTATGAACATTTCTTCTATAAACACTTTTTAATTTTATTAAAAAGTCTTTTAATAAAAACTATAAAACATCAAAACATTATTAAAAACTATGAATTTTTTTCACAATTTAATGGTTATTTAAGACCTAGACGAAGATAAAATGTTCTTCAAACTTGCCAAGCTTAACAAAAGTATTATACAAAAATTTAATTCTCATTAAACGTCAGAGATGTAAATTTTTTTGTGTTTTTAGAGGTTTTAAATTACCAGGAAGAAATAAAAGTTATTTTTTTCTTTTCGAGTCAACTATACAGGGAGTTTCGTGCAAGTGGTCGATTAGAATGGCAAAAGACAACGATTTGAAATTTTAATAGCGTTTATATTTTCATTTTGACTATTTCTTAAAAATATTTTAAACAAAATGTCGTATACCTAATATTTGATATACTGGGTAGACCAAGTATCCTTCTATGAATGGGTATCTTTTTTATTTAATTATAAGTCTATTAAAATTTCATTTAAAAAAATACAAGGGCAAAGTTTAGCTAACAAAAATAGTTTGATAATTTCATTCAGGGCCAGATATTGTTAACCCTATTGCCTTTATCAAAAATTAATAATAAATCTATATAGAAATATATTTATATATAAAACTTTTTCGCGATTCTCAATGGTAGTATCATTTTTCAATACTTCAAGGCATCCTTGACCACGCGATTTCGTCACCGAATCGCAGTTAGCGGAAAGTTCTAGAAAAATCAACGGTGCGTCGCCTTTTTCGGCGAGCAAATTCCCTTGGAAAATAATCCTGCACAATATTGCGTGACCGCACACACGACACAGTCCTGCTGTGTTTTTGCTATTTTGCTGCGCACTACACATGTCACTGCGAAGTAGGCGAATCACGCGTGGGCCACTATGTTTTTTGTTGTATAATGTAATCGACGATTTTGGATTTATTACAAAAAAATATGCAAATATACGGTTTGTGTTTGTAAACACTGTGCAATAAACAACAAAGAAATTAGGTTTCATGTCATTGAGAATTTAAATGTCAAATTTAGTCATACAATGAACATTTATTTCTTTAAAAAAATGCAATGTTACTTATTGTTTACTATAGTATTTTTTCTATAAAAAGAGTGAAGTAATTCAATTTATCTTTAGGATTTATTTTTGTTTATTGTTGTTTTTTAGATGCTATCAATGAGCATCGCGTGTTTGAATCTATACAGATAAATGGAATGGACGTGTTATTTTTTTACACGAACCAAAGAGAAATTGTCTCTAATTGGGTGTTTTCTCATTGTTTTCCGTTCAATAGGCTTTACTTAGAATCGCGAATTCCGGTTAAAAATCTTGCAACGTTGCCTCAAAATTTATAAAATAGTGCACTAAATGAATATGCCCTGTATGTTCATAATAAATTCACCAGCCGAAATTTTATAAAAAAATAAAGTTAGTTTATTTCTTTATGAAAAATCCTTGTCTAAAAAAATTAAGATTTGCAACTAGATTTTTTTTTTAAAACGCACAAATTTTTTTTTTTTAAGATTTTTATGTTTTCGTAATTTTTAAACATCCTTTACGTTTGGTTAATTTTTTTATAGAAACTTCATTTTTTAAACAAGCAAAAGTTTTGTGAAGAATGTTTTTATTTTGTAAAACGCACAATAAAAAAGTTTTTCTATTGGCAACCCGGCCTAAACTAAGTTTAGATTCAGTTTCAGCGAGATAAATTACATACAAATATCATTTATTGTGTTCTGAAAGTTCTATAAAATTAAAATAATCTAAATTTGATGTGGATTTGAATCTAAAATAATTTTTAGTATTTTTGTTTTTTAATATTAAACCTAATTAAACTTTTTTTCTGTAGAAGCACAGATCAAACTAAATAGTTCAATTGATTATTTTGTTGTTTTTATTTTTTTGTATATCCTACTGATTTTACACTAGAATTATTTTCAGAAATCAAGTAATATTTCAAAAGTGTAATTCAA